TCCGGTTTTGTGGCCAACTTCATACTAATACTATAATAACATGCCATTATAGTATTAGTATGAAGTTGGCCACAAAACAGGACAATATGTGTGAACTTGTCCAAGTGTCAAATGTACAATAGTATATACAATAGTAGGGTTGGTCAAAAAATGAGACAATATGAGTGAAGTTGTCCGAAAATATGGATGGATTGGTATATTGTCTAAACCGCCAAGGGTTGTCCAAAATTACTGTACAGACGTCTGTGTGAATGCAATTAATAAGTGATTGGTGCTCAAAGTGTGAGCCTCGAATATATTTCGATTTTCATCATAACAAATTTTTAATGTAAACATGACTGTGGTTATTCAGAACTCAAAACAAAATTTAGCATATCAGTCAATTTCATCATTTGCAACACAGGCACATGCACGCCTTGTTCATTTCGTCGCCACCAAATGTGTTATTGAAAGACTGAACTGAGCTAATCAGATTTATTATGCTGAAATGACACTTTCCTGAAAGCAATAAAGATCTTGTTGAAACACAGTTATGAGTCATAACATAATAACCGATAAATTGAAATCAGCGGCAGACTTTTTGCAAACGAATTATTACATAAACATAAACAACAGCTGATCGCGTAAATCTATTTGTTTTGTTAGTTTGCAATAGTGAAATATCGAACAAAAATAAATGTCTCAAACGGTAAAATGATTGAATTTGGTGATTCTACACCAATTTACGCGTTTCAAATATTTAAAAAAGTAACATCCCGATTTTCAAATAAGAGCAGCACTTTTAGATTTAGAGGATACCGTATCGGGTAGAAGATCCCGAAATTTTAGTCTCTGCTATACATATTCGCACAAACACCATTGGTGTTGTTGGTCTCGCGAATAATTATTGTTGCTGTTGCTGCTACAGACGTTTACATACATCAAGCATTACTACGAAGTAATTTGGGAGTGTGTTTGGTATATGTGTCTCTTGAAAATGACTTTGAACACATTGAAATTTTGCTATAAATTATATATTTTTCATGAGAAAATGTATAAATCGGTATGTAGGTCTAAAAAGCAGTATTCAACATACTGATTTATTATGACAAAAAATGACCAAAATTCATTGAGGTATTGAAAAAATCAATACAGTTGGTACTCTAGCCTACAGCCATATCTATACTTGTGGATTAATGACATCAGTCATAGCTCCACAATTACACTGACGGCCCGCGTTTTCCAAGGCGGTGATTGGGGTTCTAAAATTTTCGTTGTTGATCCGCAAATAATGGGTCAACATCTCCAATGCTTGCACGCGAAGTGATTGAGTTTCGTAGTCTTGATGTGTTGGTGGCGGCTTCTCATCACTGGGCAACGCTTGTGCGTCAACAACGTCACAGTCTACTTTGTTTGGACCGCGGCCAAAATTACTACCACCACTGCGACCATACGGATGCATTCGATTATTGCCGTTTGGCTGAACATTTCGCTTTCTCGAATTTCGGCCGCCAACGTTGTTGCGACATTCCGTACTCCGGGGACTTTCGTCTTGGGCGCCCCTTTGTTTGTTCATTATACTTTGGAATTCATGGAAGCTCGACTCGAACACTTCTATGTATTGGGGTGCCCAGATTTTTCTCATGAAATATTTTTGTCATTTTTTGTTCGGGAGGTACCTCAAAAAGCCAATTTTCAGAGTTTTTGTCTGGTAAGACTCCCCATATTTTCGAGGAAAAATAACATTGCACCAAGATACCTACCCTAAAAGGCCTATACTTAAGGATTTCTTGGCCAAAAACTTAACTTAAGGATTTCTTGGCGATTTTCTGAGAGTTGAAATCGAACCAACCGAATATGCGGCTAGAAATATATGAAAACATTACTAGACTTGGTCATGTAGGTACTTAAAATGTTCGTGAGGGATCATACTAGATGTTCAAAGGTAGTAAAGGCAGAAATTGTTTGCTCAATGGGGTGATATAGCCGTGAAACTGAAGCTCATCAGATTTTTACGGCCATTTGATAGCACCGAAAGAAAACCTGAAAAACAGTTTTTTTTATTTTTTTTATTTTATTAAACACCGCCAAGCTCTGGCTGAATAAAATGTGGGTTTTGATTGAGGTTTGGCAGGAAAAGAGCGCAAGACTGTTACATATTCAAAATAATAAACAATTAGTAGCAATAGGTTTCGATAACTATCAGTTCTCGTTAAAAACCTGGCTCTTTTCGTAAATTATGCGGTAATCACGATAGTAGGAACATGAAAACGAAAACAGTCATGCAACCAAGATGGAAATGCCTGATATTAGTCTATGGCAAACGGTCCAAGATAACCTTTGGTAAACGTTTCCAAGGGACAAAGGCTATGTGAAGCGTTTAATTACGCGTTAATTTGAGACTCTAGGACAGCAAAATTCGTCGCTCAATTTATACCGGTAGATAAATTGACGAGAAGTTTTACGTCTGTAAAGGCAGATCCATGTTGATTGCAGAGTGCATTGAGTTGACATGGACAATGATTTGAAACGTAACTAGAGCATTTGATGCTATTTGATAAATAATTCAAATTTGATTTCAATGATAAGAATATTAAGTCGCCAACTCGTGGATGGCTTTAACAAAGAACAAAATGAATTTACAATAAATAAGTGTAAACATCACAGAAAGGTATCATCATTTCAATACATATGGAAGAATGTACGGAAAATAATTCGTCAGAATTTTAGTATTGATTTTTGCTGCGTGATTTGTGTGAGATCAGTTTGAATCAGAGGGGCGAAACCGAACTGTCATCATCAATTACAACGCGGCTGTCAGAATAAAGTACAAATTAAATACACGCCTGACAGTCTTAAGTGCGCCTTCGTAGAACGAATTGTTGAATTTGACACTTGACTACGGCTACTGTGTTTGAAAACAACAACGTTTTTTCGTTGATATATTTTTTACGACTGAAAAGAATAGATAAAGAGAAGTGAAAAATAAATATGTGTGACAACATTTGTAAGTGAAAAGTGTTTTAAATCTAAAAAGATATCATTATGTGGATGTGATTTTGTTTTACGAATAAGTTGTTTCGTTCTTTCCTATTAAGGTGCAATGAATGATTTGGATGACACATCCATATTATCGAATATCAAAGAACGTTTTCAACGTAAACAAATTTATGTAAGTTTTCTTTAGATTTGCTGATATTCAAATGAATTTTAAAATCAACTAATTGAACTTTCTCATGATTTGCGTTTTTGATGTTTTACTAGACGTATGCATCAAATGTTTTAATCTCTTTAAACCCGTATGGAACATTTGATGGTCTCTATGGACCGCGAGAAATGGATAAATATTTGGCTATCAACACGTTTTCCGAACAACCACCACATGTTTATGCGATCGGTAAATATTCCTTTTTAACATTCGTCATGCAACCATATTTTATTTCTGTATTTTCAAATAATACTAATATAATAATAATCTCTAGCAAACGAAGCTCTGAATAACTTGAGGATGCACAACAAGTCCCAATCAATATTGATTACGGGTGTATCAGGTTCCGGTAAAACGGAAAATGGGAAGCATATCATGGAATTGTTGTGTCAAACATCTGTTAGCTCGCGAAATGTGTCCAAAGCGATCCCGATTCTCGAAGCATTTGGAAATGCCAAAACGCGCGGAAACTCGAATAGTTCCAGATTTTGCAAAAATGTTGAGGTGAAAAATTTCAACGAATTTTAAGAAACAACATGATACCTAGCATGATACTGACTATTCATTTTTATTCTTTTAGCTTATCTATGATGCGAACGGGAAACAGCTTGGCGCCAAAATTTCATATCATTTACTCGAAACAAGCCGAGTTTCTGCCGTAAATATAAATGAAAGCAATTTCCACATTTTTTACGACTTGCTTTTTGGTTCTTCGGACGATATGTTGAGAAAAATGTGTCTTAATCGGTTCGCTTCATACAAAGTGAGTATATTTGTGTTTCAGGAGCCATAGGAATAAAATGGCTCCTTAAACACACAATGATAAGAAAATTGTTCAACATAAATTCTTGCTTCTAGTATCTTCCGGATAAAGATTTGGTGTTGAAACCGAATGAAGACACAACGTTCTACAGCAGATTCAATATTGTGGATGAAAATTTGAGTGGACTTGGCTTTACAATAAACAATAAGAAGAGCATTTATATAATTCTGGCAGCAATTCTGAATTTGGGAAATATTCAGTTTGAATCATTGACCGATGATGACAGTTGCAATGTCACAATTGCATCCAACATTTATTTATGCAATGCTGCAGCTTTATTGGGCGTTGACGAACGGGAACTGGCGGATGGTTTGACTAGCCTTACTCTAGAAATGGGCAATCAACGAATCAAGTACATTTATAATCCAACAAAGTTGCTTAATGCATGGCTAAAACAATAATTAATATTGTTTTTTTTTTTAATTTATATATTTTAGATCTCCTTTGACTACAATTGCTTCTGAAAAGGCAAGGGATAGTTTAGCGACAGGTCTATATGGCAAAATGTTTGGCCAAATGATGCAAATAATTAATAATCATCTATCGTCATCTTCTGTAAATTATTCGATTAGCATATTAGACATTGCTGGATTCGGTAAGTTGACAATGTTTTTTTACTCCATATATATTACTACTATTTACAAATTAACACTGAAATAAAATACTGCTTTTTTAGAATATTTAACAGAGAGTCAAAACACGTTTGATCAACTCTGCATAAATTATAGTAATGAACGCTTGCAAAACTTGTTTGTTGAACTCATGCTTTCAAGGGAAAAACAGTGGTATGAGAGCCAAGCTTTGGATATACCTTTCGTAGAGTTCTTTGACAACTCATACATCATTGGTATGGAAAATTATTTATTTTGGAATTGAGAAGTTGGACATGATTTTTTTTTCTTAATATTAGATATTTTCGACAACAAAACAAAAGGAATATTCACCTTACTTAACGATGAATGCATGAAAAAAACTCCTTCAACTGAGAATTTTACAAGAAGCCTGAAAAATGCATGGAACGAAGACAAGTCCTCGCCCATTTCATGGCGTGTTGTTGGCCAACGATCAAAAGAAAATTCTTTTTTGATTCGGCATTTCACAAATCCCGTCATTTATTCAACGGTAAATAAATATTTGATATTGGCTCCTTAAATACATGAACAGTAGCTGACCCATTACTAATTTACCTAAAACAATCTTTTCATTTGATTCTATTCATTCACGAAAATTAACAAGTATATTATTGATCATTGCGTTTCAGGATGATTTTGTATATAAAAATCGTAAACTCATTCCAAACGCTTTGAATTTGATAATCAAGAAATCAACAGCATCATTTGCAATATCTGATTCCGATTCAACACTTGAGCGCACGACGAAATCCACGGCGTCATCTTTAAAATGTGAAATAGACGGTTTACTAGGAAGACTGAAGGAGACTGTAAGCAATAAATTCAAAAGAATTAGAATTTAGAGATAGGTATAGAAATATCGAATCTGAATATTTGCAGGAATTGTACTTCGTGCGTTGCATACTGCCAAACAATTGCAAACAATATGGGAGTTTTAAGGAGGAATTGGTTTTAAAACAACTGAACACATCATGCGTAATTTCATATGCCAGGTTCATTCGATTCGGGTTCTCTAAGCGTATTGATTTCCAAGAGCTTGTCAACAAATGCAAACTGTTCGAGGATAAACTGAATACGAAATATAAATTTTTTCGTATGGATCGATCGCAATTTTATTCGAAAGTACTTTTGTCTATTGGCTTCAGACTCAAAGAATTCAAAATCGGAAACGGTGCGATCTTTTTCCGTTCAAATAAATTTGAATTATTGGAAAAACTTTTTTCTGACATGACATCAGAACCAAACTTGATATCTGCTACCGGGGAGACACGTGCGCCAAAGTAATCCTCTTAAAATTATATTTTATCAACTAATCATTGTTTTAACTGCTTTGAATATATCTTTACAGATCACGTTCTAAACATCCTTTAGAAAAGATTGAAGGTTTTTTTTTGCGATCAAAATGGCAATCTTACATGTCAGCCATCAGATTCTTAAGTATGTTGAAAAATTTACCAATTCATTGAAATCACTGGATAAAAATGCTTTATTATCTTGATTATTATAGTAAGATGGAAAAATAATGAATATTCAAAGAAAATGAAGAAAACCGACTCTATTCCGCCAAGCAATTTATGTTATGAGCAACCGGTTGAAAAAGAAAAAACTTCAGAGCCAGAGCATCTACCACAGTTACGAGAAAATACAATCAACGTGAAAATATTCGATTCTATTCGGCCGCGCAATGTTGGTGATAATCCGAAATCAAAGCAAAAAGGTCCAAAACGACCACTACAGGAAGAGAGAGATATGGATTCAGAGAATGAAGTTCCAAAGAAGCGATACAAGAAATCGGAGAAAATGCCATCTTCTTCTATTCGTTTTAATCATTCGCTTTCCCACTTTCCACTAATTGATAAAAGCAGATTGGTGCGTTGTAAATATGAGGACTGTGCCAATAAAAAGTCATACGTTTTCTGCGAAACATGCAACGTCCACTTGTGCTTTTGCATTGCAGACGAACGCAATTGTTATACGGATTTCCACAAGATCAAAAAAGAATGATGATGATTATGAGCATGCCAATCTCTACTAATAATTTTACGTTATTCTTCAAAAAACCGTTTTCTTTTTTATATTAGTTTTTCATGCATTAAAACTTACAGCAACATAAGACTTAGGAAACAAATTAACATTACATGTTCTAGGAAAAATGACAAAATTCTTATTCTATTTCTATATCTATTGACTGAGATGTTCATTTATTTATTTATTTACCAACAAAACATCAAATAATTTATTTCAATTTTATGTTGAAAGGAATCCAAAAAAGAAAATAAAGTGTGTTAATTGCGCCATATAAGCTATAATAAAAACTCTTTCAAAATAAAACAACCATTTTTGATTTATGTTTCTTGAAGATTTTGAAAACTAATTTCAGTTGCAATCAAACTTAAGAACCCGTTTTAAAATGGTTCGTTTTTTTAATTGGTAGATGATTTACATAACGTAATAACCAATTTATATGATCTATCGAGATTTTTCAAACTCTCGCGCTAAGATTGTGATAAATAAACAGAGTGTCAAATTGTGTGATATATTATTACGCACATTATGTCGCTGTACGGTTGCGTGTGCCGAATGGCTTTGTTCCACCGAGTGCACATTTTTGTCTCACTCATTGAACATTCTGGCCGTAGCTGCGGGCGCAACTGCACAGATATTCTGACAAGTGTATTTGTATACATTTACAAGTATTAGTGTCATATTTGGCGCGGAATAAATCAAGGCTCACTCTGTTTCCAATCCCATTTTTGCGCCTATTGTCAAATGTCATCACTCATCAGTTTCTATTTCATTGCAAAACATTGATAATCATTGCTTATATACATAGTAGCATAAGAAATAATCACAAAGAGACAATAACAATAGAAAATTGAATAAATCGTGCAGTCAATGTGAATTAAAAACACTGATATACGTACAAAAGAAACAAAGGACCAATCATAAACATGATCTATGAACCTATAGATACAGCAATGAAAACTTTGGTTTTTCAATGCGAAAACGTGAGTTCTTATATTATGCATAGTTATGTAGAAATATGTCACTCAGAATATTTTTTTAGAATTATGTTTATTGTTTTGTAGCCTGAAGATGTACCCAGATTGTATGAAGAACTACTAAATATTGGTGGAATCAAAGACTGGTACCCATCTCAAGATCCGGAAATAAGTTGGCAACCTGGTAGTGTACAATTTGAAACATTCGAGCAGGCGTTTGCTGTATTGACAAAAGGTGTATCAATAAAAAATGTACGTTTTCTACATGGATGGTATACGGATTGGTCATGGGTTTCATTGAAAAACACAAATGAATCATTTTTTGTACAGCTTGATGACAAGTTAAATGATGACTGCATCTGTGAGGTCATAAAATACATCGATATTCTACACCTCATTCACTTCGCACAACTTAATGTTCGATTCAAAGCCTTAACAGAGATCAGTTTCTTGCACCCACGCATTTTCCCATCTACGGTCGGTTCAATGGGATTAATCAATTTTCGATATTTGCTTGAAATGTTTGGTGGATCAGTGAAAACACTTTCTGTATCTTTAAACGCTTTCCCTACAATTCTAGGATTTTATTCCGATGCTTTCAAAAGATGTATATTAAGGACAATTCATAAATGTACTGGACGTGAGTTTAGAACTCTTTACTGTTATGATTTTGCTTGGCCTGATTATGAGAACGAAAATTTTGACTGTGTCATACAAATGTTTTCACAACGGAACATCGAAATAAGATTCAATTAATCTCATGTATGAAATCAATGACAATGTAAAAAGAAGATTCGATTAGATTTAAATCTTTATAAAATATGTTTTATATAAACTATTAAATGAATAAACACGATTATATTACTAATTCCTAGCAAATTCTGGTTTTCTGTGTTAGCTGTTCCCATTCTGATCAGATGTTAATTGACCATTTTTTGAAATTCCCACTTTTGAGATTTTCCACATATCAATCAGATATGATAAGTACGTGAAATATATATTGTCAGTTTAGCTAAAGTATAGCTGACTGATCTGTCTGTCTATCAGTACACCTCAACAGGTATCAACAGGTATTAGTATGTGTATACAAACACATCGCATAACCACGTGTTTGGGTTCACTGAACCCTTTGTTTACATCACACCATAAGTAAACCGGTTTGTTGTGTTTCAGGAGCCAATAAGATTGACAGTCCGAGTAGTAGTAGTCTGTGGGTTTTTGGAAATATGTGCTTTGTTTTAAAATTAAAGAAATATTGGCTTTTGGGTGGGTTTGGAGCATTTAATGCACATATTTGAAATCTATTTTATTTTTTAAAAAAATGAAAATAATGTTTAATATAAGAAAAAGAGGCGGGTCGTAATTTTGATATCAATGGGTTTCATTGTCCTTTTAGAATGACTGCGCGTTTCTTTTTGTACCGGATGAGATTTCCTCGTTCTTCATCTGTCATTTTCTTTCCAATTTTTTTTGACTTCATTGTCATATAGGTTTTTGATAACAGAGTAACAAATTCTACTTTATGATCATACGATGTTGGTTCTTCTTGCTGGATGTGTTTCAAGTCAAAATCTTCAAATAAATCATGTACATCTATTTTTTCAATAATTGTTTTGATCACCGCATTGAAATTATTGCCTTGTTGGTTTTCTACATAGATCATTTTCAAAATGGCATTACAAAAAATAGTAATTTTTAATGTGCTTGCAGATGGTTGAGCGATTTTTCCAACTATTGTAGTTTTCATTGCCAGAAGCTCATCATTTATTTTATCATTTGCAGTGATTAAAACGTTCGCGCATGTTGCACACTTGTGTTTGTGTTTTGTTACGTCTTGGATGAATTTACCCTCAATACATAGCGCTATGTATGCGCACATATGTGATTCATATGGGTCCATTAACTCGATCTCTCCCATCATTACAGCTTCGTAGTTGAGCTCCACATCAATTTCAAGCGCTTCAGGTTGATGCTGAACAGCCGGTGGAAAAGGTTTCCATAGATTTTTAGAAGATATGGTCAGAATTCCCGTTGAATTTGTGATTACATTGTGGTCCTTCGAAGTCATTACCGGATGGCAAATAAGAAGTTTTTTGAAACCGCTCGCAAATTCAATTACATTTGGATTGTCATTTCGTCCAAGTCGATTTCTGAAAATGAACCGAAATTACTATTTTTTTTATATGAATTAAAAAGATAAGAAAGAGATAAATTTCCATACCTTATTAGAGATAAAAAAGTCTCTAAGTGATCCTGGCTGAACTGAAACGCTTGCAATTCCTTCAGAGGACCGTTGAGTATAAAATCTTTATATATACCCCGAAAACTAATGAAATCGTAATAGAAACCAGAAAAGCCTCGCTCTACATCGGAGTTCAATATCGGAACTAGGGTTCCAGCATCCGTTCGGAATTCTAATTCTGTTATGTATTGCTTGAATTTTTCAGCAAATTCGAATATACGGGTCGCAGTGTTTTCATTAAGGGGTTGCTTGTACCGATCATCCTTCTTGCTGCCTGCTCCGAAATTTAAATATGTCAAATCCGTCGTTGAAATTCATAATGAGATTAACAGTGGCTTCACAATTCTGGAACTCTTCGTAGCCATCTTTTCGTAATTGCTCTATACTATCAGCCACACTTTTACTAATCGTTTCCGCAGCTAACTTAACATTCATTGGCTTTTGTTTCCAATTGATATGCAGTGGCGTCAATTTGTTGAAGAGGTTGAAATTATTTACAGATTGTCTGTTGACTAATATTTCAAGAAGACTCCAGTTTATCAATTCATTATTATGATAAATTTTGTTTGATGAAAAATGCTTCCTAACGAGCTTGAGCATGTGGGGTGGATCAAAAATTACATATATTCTTTGTTGTGGATACGTCGGACTTTGGAAATACGGTTGATCTGATTTGAAATTTGCACCAAGTTTTTCAGCGGCAGTTACATTTCCTTTTAAGCCATCACCGGTTAAGGAAAATATTATTGCTCCTGCTGCTTCGACTTCTTAAATGGTCCACAAAGTTAGTGCTGCTCTATCAACGCTGTCTAAGCCGTTACACAGCTCATATGCAACGGGAACTTTGAAATCTGGCCCAACAACCATATAAACCAGCGCTTCTTTAGCTAATTTAGCATCTGATTCCGTTTCATTGCCCTTTTTTTTGGTTGTACTGGTGTATGTACTGAAACCAACAAATTCTTGCTTTTCATTGTCATAATGAAGTCCTTTTCTTATATGAACATCGTCATAAATCAGCGCTAAATGTAGTTTATGTCCATTCGTAGCAAAATATGTTTCTGACTTTTCGCGTATGATGTCCAAAGCACTGTTACAAATGCCTGGTGTTCCATCAACTGAAGTAAACCACAATTGTAAAGTTCGAATCTCTGGCAAATGGTTATTGAAGAAAATTCGTAATGATTTGTAAGCTGCTGTTGAATAGTATTGCTGTCTCATACTGAATTTTCTGACATTCTCTGAATATTTTTGGTTTCCAATTCCATGGACCAAACAGTGAATCACTTCTCGTTGTTCCTAAAAATTCGAAAAATGTAGAGTCATATCAATTTACAGCGGATTTTCACAAATCGACATATGACATCAAATGTTATGTTTAGTGAAATTAATGTGATTGGTAAAAACCATGCGATACTTGAAAAAATACTTACACCTGATAAGTGAGATACATTTGTCCAATCACGTTGAAGAGATCGTTGTAGTTCTTTTAATTGCGAATCTTTTGATTTTATTTTCATTCCCATTTCTTCAACGACTTTTTTGTATTTTTCCAACTCTGTGACCGCTAGCATAATGCTTTTATATTCTTCTAAATCTAAAACAATCGTTGCAGATTTAGTTCCAGATCCAAATCCATCGTCTTCACAATCATCCAGGTACAAGTCGGTGATTTCATCATTATTAAATCCTGGTTCTTGTATACTTGCGGCATAGATATGATTGTTTTCACTTGCGATGTGTGAACTAAAAGTAGTTGAAAAAACGGATAAAGTATAGTTAGCGTTTAAAATCTTCCAAAAAAGACTAAATTTATGGGCCAGAGATCGTTCCATTACCCGGTTCCTTAGAATTCCCAGATATGATGCACCATGGTGTTTGAATATCTGGATTTAGCATATGGAATCTTAGCTGTGTTTCAGGAGCCGAGTAATGGAACGATCGCTGGCTCCCATATATTGAACTTTCTTGACAAATAATAATTATTATTGTTCAACGTGACACCGCGTTACACATACCGAATGATGGGAAATACATTTTTCCGAAGCACCGTCTTTGTTTTATGTTTTTTGATATCGTTTGGATTGAAATGAAGATCACACACATGCAATTCACCATATTCATTCAACGGTTGGTGTCGTTTGATTTCCTTTATCCATTCTTTTCTCGATTCATTTATTCTGAAGAACAATAGAAAATATAAGAGACAATACTAATTTTAAAAAATGTTCAAAACTGATTAATTACTCAAAGAAACTTCTTCCACAATCATTTCCACGGCTTAAACAACCATCTATACAACACATTCGCATTCTATCAGATAAATTTGTTGGAGTTTGTGCGAATTAAAATAACGTAGGTGATAACTAATTTGTATGATCTGTCGACATTTATTAAAATCTCGCGCTCAAATGCCACAACTTTTCTAGACAGATTGAGAAATCGCGTGATATATTATTATGGTGTGTGTTTGCGTGTAATCACATTATACCGCATAGCGCCACTTTGTTCTTCCGATTGCACATTTTTGTCTTGCAAAATGAACATGCAGAATACAACCATAGCTACGAGAGCAACAACACAGAGATGGTGACAAGTTAGATCCATACAAGCATTATTTGGCGCTCTCTGTCAATCAAGGCACACTCTGTTTTTGTCTGCGCATTCGAATCAGTTGAAAAGAAGTTAAAAAAGAGCTAACATACATTTTTCGGCGCTCATAGAGAGTGAAGACAGAAGAAGTGATGGCGAAAAAACGACAAAAATCCAAAATAACACAAGTTAAATTGAAGCAAATGTTGGCAAAGTTTAAAATTCGTGAATGTCGTATCAAACTGCAACGATTGACCATATCAAGTATGTATATTCTAATCGATGAATTCCAACAAATATATTTTTCATTGTTGTTCATGGTCATAATAATGGATGATAATAATTAATTTCGTTTCTCAAATGCATTTTGTTATAGACAACGATGAATTTCGAAAGGCATTATTCGAAAAATACGGCATTCGCAATTGTGCTGTACGTCTTAATCGTCTGGACGAGAAAGATATTCCCAAAGTGCGCCCAAAACTGCTTCCCACTGGCAACGTGCGTTCGAATTCAACTATAAGCTGGTTCCCATCTACATCAGCAATACAAAAGAAGTCGGTTGATGCATTATCTTCTCTTGTCGCTTACCAAATTCAAAATGGTATTACAACACGAGTTACTGGAAAAAGTGAGTATTCTTTTACACACATAAATGATAACTAGGAAGGAAATTGATTCTTTTGTGTTCATTCTTATCAACAGAAACTTCAACAACAATGCCGAATGGAGGGCCAGCAAAACGTCAACGCGCCAAATCGATGTATGCACCACCAAAACATGAAATCAAAAAGAAAGCCACAATGGATGACATGCATTTGGAGTTGTACGCAAAATATGAAAGTCCGAACCGTGGTCTAAAATCAAGCGCTGTACGCCAGTTACCTGACCCGCAACCAAAACCAGTTCCAGATTTCCAGAAAATTCACGATGAATTCAAGGCAAAGCTTCGAGCAAAACAAGCAAAAAATTAGATATACAAGTCTTGTATGTTATATGACTCCAGAAAAATTAAAATCAATAAAAAATCATAGAAAAATATAAAACTGTGTAGAAGTTTTTTTTAAATAATTCTACTGTTTCTCATTCATGGCAACATTACCGTAAATATACGGCTCCTGAAACACATTTTCCAGCACTCAAAATGTTTGTAAATGTGCCAACTACAATATTCCGGCGCTACGCCGATTTTGAAGAGTTATGGTTGATTTTATACGAAAAAGGGCCCAAAATTGTTTTTTCCACTACTAGTGCACACGTTTTGATCCATACTTCGTAAACCACTTGGCCGATTCTAGCAAGTTTGATATCAAAATGCTCATTGTGACTCCCACTTTCAGAAACAAGTTACATCAATGTGGATTTGCTTGGAAATTTCGGTTATGTTATTCGTGGCGACATTATCGTAAATGTACGGCTCCTGAAACGCATTTTCACATTATCATTTTTTCGCTTTGGCCAAGCAATAGCACAACTTCATTTTTATTATTTCCGCGCGCAAAGTGACAACTAACAACAATGAATCGTATGATGTATTTCTTTGTATTGTAAATGAATGTATATATATACTTTATGAATCATGGTATAGTGTCGCTCTGTTCCAAATGCACAATTTTGTTCTATCGATTGCACATTTTCTCAATACCAATACACGCAAACAGTTCACGAGCGCTCCCAAGTGACACGATCAAGGCTCACTTCGTTTTTGTCAGTGCCACTGAAAATACACCGTTGATAATTGTGTAGCGACATTTTTGTCGCGCTCATTTATCTTGTCAATCTATTCTTCATCAAAAAATCTCAATTAGTTTTGTGAAAAAAGAAAAAGAGACTGTACTCCATTTTTAAAATGGCATACAAAAAGAGTGAGTATACTTACTGAATATATTTATATATATTTGAATGTTTGGTGAAGTTAAAATAGTTGAGCTCAACGTTTTTTAAATCAAAATAAAGTGTAGAAAGAAAATGTCACACAAACATGATGTCCGATATCAATTTAGAATTTTGAGAATTCATTTTCAAAAGTGAATCATTGCAAATCATATATTTCCATACAGAGTGCCATTATGGGAATGCTTCACAACGGCCAGCATCGCTACCACCACCACCGCCGCCACCACCGCCGCCGTTGCCGCAATCAGCAAAACACCTGTCAAATGTGAACATTCGTTTGAAGCAGATGAATTGGAAACCATTAGCAAAACACCATTTCGCAGAAGGTTGTTTCTGGAAAGAACAACAAGGTGTGAATGTTTATTGTTCGTCCGAAGAGGAAGACATTCTTGACGGATTGGCTCAACACTTCGCACTTCCAATCCTTAACGTAGCTCAGAAAACAGCCGAAAAGTCCAAGATTGATTTACGTGTGCTAGACAGAATATCTGTTCAGAATTTATTGATTGTGCTTCGAGTCTCTTTCAAAGATACATCATATGAGCAAATAAAGCAACATATTCTACGTTGTGAAACCACAAAATTAAACTCAGATTTCATTGAAAAACTCATCAAATCGTTACCAACACCCGATAAAATGAAGGAATTATGTGAATTGAACAACAGAGGCATTCAATTATTAGCTGTTGAAAAATTTGTTGCAAGTCTCGGCGACATCAAGCAGCTGATACCACGTTTGGATTGCATGAAGTTCATGATCTGTTTCAACGACATGGCTGAAGACTTGGAACATGATATCTTGACTGTGACGTCTGCTTGTAACGAGATAATTGCAAGCAAAAAGTTTGGAAAAATCCTCACAGTAATTTTATCGATATGCAATTTGATGAATCCCGGCTTTCAAACAATCGGGTTTGAGCTAGATATCCTGAAAAGATTGCACGATATGAAAAGTTCGCACAGAGAATATACCCTTCTGCATTTCGTTGTTGAAGCGGTTTACCGCAAATATCCTGAGTGCTTGAACTTGGCCGACGAAATGGCTCACGTGGGCAAAGCTACTCGTGTAAATTCTGATGACATCAAACAAACAATCGAAAAAGTTATACAATCATCAGAAAATCTTCAAATATTGTTGAAAGATATCGGCGGATCTCAGTCATCAGGGGATAAGTTTGAAGAACAGATGTCACCATTCGCATTGAAAGCTCATCATCAAGTGGATATGCTGAAAAAGATGATGCATGATATGCACAATACTTACCTCAACGCTAGCAAATACTTTGCATTCGATGTCAAAACGTGTTCTATGGATGATTTCATTACAAACATCAACAATTTCAAAACACAGTTTGCAAAAGCGTATGCAGAAATATTGATACTTCAAAAGAAAGGAATGCCACGTCGATCATTCGGTAGACAGCTACAAAAACCAGTAAATGCTAAATCAGGTCAACATCAAGTACTCAACGCACCCATCGTTGATGCCAAAGTGAAAAGGTTGTGCAAAGGATGTACAGTTAAATTGAAGCGATTAAGCAAACAAGGTATGCGTTTATTAGGATCGTTTACATCGTTTTTGTATTGCATTTTAAAAATTGTCGTATCTGTTTAAACTTTCAGACATCGTGGCCGCAAATCAATCTGGCAAACGTAAGCGTAGACAACAATAGTTCCATCCGAAGCGACAGTGTAACCGCCAATCCCCCAAAATACATAAATCATAGTAGAATATGAATAACAATTCTGAAAATAATGCTCATAAAGCCGAAAATGTACAATTTTCAAAATAATAAAAACAATCTATATTTCATGGAAACTTTGTGATTATATTTATTTAAAAAAAAAAGCTGATTAGCAAAGAAGATTTTCCATCATTCAGGTGCTAAGACTCTCTCGTGGAGTTTCCGACCATCACGCACCAGAGAATTTTTTTCATTACAATAATCGATGAGTTTTTTCCAGTTGACATCGTTGCTCAATATGACGTGATAACCAATAATAATTAATAGCGAAATTGCACGTGTCATCATGACGTTAAATCTCTGAAATGAAAGAAAAATCCAAAAAAATCCAATTAATGTTTTTGAAAATAAAATATTTGCTAAATTTCATTCCACCCTTGGATTTGTGACAAATTCCAAATTGTCACTTTCAGTCCGTACTGTAGATATGATCATAATTGGCCGCTCTTGACCCTGAAAAACTTCCGCACTTCCAACGGTGATATCCGGACATCCATTGTTGATTAAATCTTCTCTAATCACCTCACATTGACGATGATAGGGAGATATTATTCCGATATCTCGCTGCGTGACCTCCATTCCAGTGCATTTTTTATCCAACAGTTTTTGGACCCATTCAATGACAGCCTCGGCTTCCTTTTCATTATAGTATGTGGTGGAATTTGGCGACTGTTTGCAAACGCCCTTCACACTATCGAAAATCATTGGAAATTCTTTGTTTGGTAAAAGGTCGTTACCAATAAATCGATGGGTTGCACCTAGTTGTTGACAAGATACATTATGGACACATTTTTATTATTTTTATTCCAAAATGTAATTTTGGTTGGTTTTAGCTAACCTGTTCCAGCTTTGGGTTCTAAGAGGCCATCATAAAATTGTATGTTCGGTATCTTCAAAATTTCTGGATGTGAACGATAATTTTTTGTCAACTGGATCATGTTGTTTGTTTGCGAAGCTAGCTGGTAACATGGTTTGCTATTTTGCAAATACTCCATGAATGAAGTTTGGTATCCACATTTGGCTGCAAACTTCGATAGCGATATGGCGTCGAGCTGCTTCGTATCGCCAGCTAAGACGATAACGCTGTTGACTTTTTCGTAATCAGTGCATAGACCTATTAAATTCGCATGAAGTTTTAATATATGATCAATGTGTTTATGTAATTTGAACGTTGCAATCTGTATGGGCATAAATTTAAAATTCTTTCTGATTTGGAAATAAAAACTACTTACCAGCAATGGGAATCATAGATACTGGCTCGGTTATGCATCCGGCTTCATCGATAAATACATGGGTAAAATGAGATGAATTGAAATTTGGATCTCCTCTAGCTCCAACCAAAAAGCCGGCAGTCAGAAGGGTACAAACTACAATGCGATACTTATACAAATATTCTAATGATGGAAATTGGAACTCGCCAGCTTTGAAGTTGCATACTGTGCTAATTTTGGCGCTGAGTTTCTCTTTACTGTAAGATCTGGCATACATTCTGAATAATGAAATGTTATGTGTTACAGCAAGGAGTCTTTCCGTTATTTCATCGCATGTAGCATTTGTTTGTGCACAAACTAAAACGGCAGTTTCTCTTTTGGCTACAATCTCGGCTATGGCGGCCACCAAAGTACGTGTTTTCCCTGTTCCTATTTCATAAAAATAAAATCATTTTTTAGATTCTCATAAACAATTAATCATGTTTTACCCGGTGGACCAAACAAAATGAATGGATTTGAATCCTTATCGGCTTGAACGATATATTTTACCGCGTTTTTTTGCTCTTCATTCAATTCGTCGCAAAATTGGAAACTTAAAAAATAACAGTGATAAGTTAGTTTAATAACTTTTTTGCCAAAAAATAGCATACCTGTATTCACTGTCTAGCTTCTGAGGGGAAGTGAGCTCATATCGAGGGTTACCGATGAGAATCGAGAATAAATTGTGTTCCTTGATCCACTTTAATGCATTGTGTTGCAGCTGGTACACAATACGATTTATATTGAAGGTGACATTAAAGAGCTGTGCCTCACTTCCAAACCAGCAAACCAATTCCTCAAATCCTTCCAAAACTTTGAATAGTATGTAGTGTGTGTCTATTTGATAAATCTGCCCAGAAATTACTGTATCTACTTCGCTTCCGGTTGGCTTCGCGGTGAATGCAACGATCGTTCCTCTCCGCCAAGCTCTGTAGTATTTTTGGTAATCACCGTGACTGAATTTAAATAATTGGATAGGACTCGTCCTAGAATGAATCGAAATTTGGACGTTCTGCAGGTCGAAAGTTGCCAGATGTTTTGAATTAGCGGCTTCTTCCATGTGTATTAATGTGCTAAATTTTTCAATGTACACATTCGAAGAAATTCTGGCATCGCCAAAATTTTCACGGATGGACTCAAACTTGGACGTGTCATCATCATTTAACTCAAGGTCAATAATAGCTGGTGGAATCGCATACTGCTCTAACTGTCCCTTGAAAAGTCGTCTGAAAAACAAATTTATTTCATAAAATTTACAATAAATTGAAAAATAAATGAAAAATTACCCAAATGGTATAGTGTTGTGTTTTTCATCATCCACCCTTGTTGTCCGCTTTGGGATTTTAAAAGGTCTTTGCGGTAGAGCGTCAATTATTTGAATTTTACGTTTTGGTGGTTCCACTGGAAAAAAGAGAAAACATTCATCGGTTGAAAAATACGACTTCTAAAACATATTTATGATGAATCACTTTCTTACCATTTTTTGTTGACGATCCAGGCAATTTTACGCCACAAGCGTATTCCTCAGACAAGAAATCCGCTCGGATGGCTGTGTGGCTTCGTTGGCGTCTGCCTTTTTGTGGTTTT